CAGCAGCTGCCCCGTGTCCAGCCGGGCTGCGCGGCGCCAGCGGAGCGCTCCCTGCCTCGCCGGCTGCTGTCAGCCCTTCCAAGCCATCACACCGATAAAGGGCTATAAAAAACCTCCAGCCAATTAACCGAATCTCAGGAGAGCGCTGAGTCCTGTCAGCGGAGCCGAGCTGCTCTGGGGACACGCTGCTCCGCACTGCGGGGTGGCCCAGCCGCGGGGCGGCTGCCACCGCCCTGCAGTGTAGGGTCACCAGGCCTGGGATAGGGGAGCCAGCACTGGCTCTGTGCACATTCCAGCCTGGCAATGGCCAGAGTGACACTCTCGGTGGGCAGTGGGGACGGTAAAGGCGATGGGGTTGTTGGGGTCCCAGCCGGACCCGGAGCGGGACTGTGCAATGAGACCTGGCAGCGGGCAGTGCTGCAGCCACCCGCTCGAGCCTGAGTGGGCACGGAGATCTGCAGGGGAAGGAGGGAAGCTCTGCTGGAGTGCACAAGCTCCGAAGCATGGGGAGCTGCAGCCAGGAGGAGAAGCAGCCCGTACGCTGCTGCCTCACTCACCCGGCCACCACGATCTCGAAGTCGCCGTCGGCATCGAGGTCGGTGACAGCCACGCCGTAGTTGAGCTGTGTGGGGTTGCTGTCGTAGTCAGGCGGGAGCAGGCGGTGGGTGACGGAGGTGAACATGGGCTCGCTGCGCTGGGAGCCCTCGGCGAGGCAGGCCAGGGCTGCCAGGCACAGCAGCAGCATCCTGGGCACCTGGGGGAGAGCCGCACGCTCAGCTCTGCGAGGAGACGCTTCGGCTCCAGCTCCACGGGCATGCGGAGACTCCGAGGGCTCCTCGCTCCTCTGTGCCAAGGCACCCAGTTGCCCTCACTCCCCTTGCACATGCAAAGGGCTCTTTCTGCCCCTCGTCACCCATCCGTGCTGGTGCCACCAGTCAGCTCTCCAGCCCTCAATCGTTGCAGCCCCAAAATGTTTTGGCATTGCTGCAGCCCTGGGCATCTGTGTGCACGGAGCTTCCCAGATGGCTCAGCAGTGGGTACAGGTCCATACCCGAGGCGAGGAGCACCTCGGAGGCAGCAGGATGGCTGTTGTGCCAAGGGACAGGGCCTGGATAGGGCTGGAGCCAGGGCTGAGCCATCCCTCCCCGGGAATCGGAGGGGCGGCAGGGGGGCTGATGCCGCTCGCTCTGCGCCGCGGGTGTGCGGAGCACCCAAGCTCCTGGTGTGCTGGGGTGGCAATCACTGCCCATGGCCTTGACAGGGCCAGAGGAGCCAGGTAGCTGCCTGGGGTGACCCCATCCCCTGGTCTGATCCTCCGGAGCTGGGAAAGGCCATGGGGAAGATGGGGGATGCTCTGCCAGGGGACACCCATGTGCCTCGCTCTCCCTCCCTGCTCTCGCTGTTCCTCCCCAGGCTCCTCCCGGGCAGTTCAGGAAGGTGCCTGTGTGTGGATGCGGCCAGGGAAGGGAAGTGAGAGGAAGGGAAGGAGATGTTCGGAGGAACAGGACACTGGGAGGAGAGGCTCAATTAACCTGGACTGCGGAGGACGGCGCCTGCCAGCACTGCTGGCAGGGCTGCGGAGCCTTCGGAGCTGGCTCTGACCTGGCTGTAGTGCAGGTGACAAGTGAGGGAGCACCCGGGACAGCCGCCCTCGCCACACGCTGGGCAGTCCCCTCCGGAGGAGCAGAGCCCAGCACCGAGCCCTGCCTCTCCATGGCCTCCAACCACCGTGCCGGGCTCCAGGCGGGGGCAAAAGCATCGGGCCCTGCTCCGGTGTCCCTGGGCTGTGGCTGCGGCAGGGGCGCTGCTGCCTGGGCTGGGGACACCGCTCACTGCGGGCTCCTGGCCACGCTGCCCGCCGACGCAGGAATAGCCCCTGGCAGGGCTATGGAGCCCCCCTGTGGC